TAATGAAAAAATACATGGCTTCACCTCCCACTTCAGACATACCTGAAATCTTACAAATTGCGCCCCATCCTCATCTTCAAAAGAGTACCTTTTTGTGCAGTATGGAGGGCAGAGTTATGGTTTTGAGGTTGACTTCCATTCTTTGTAAATATCGGAACCAAATGAAAAAGATACCGCACAAATTTTGCCTTGCCTTGATAATGACCAGATGAGCTGGAAGGTTTACACCCCATGCCAATGGGCAGATACAAACCAATACCTATAATTTTCCATGACGGGCTCTTGATGGTTGCTGCTTCCTTGATCTTCACTTCATTTCCTGTCCTGGCCGTTTTGAGCAGTGCTTTCATGCTCCTTTCCCTTTTCATAGGAAACAGCAACCTCTTTGCATTCGGCTATGGTACAGAGTTTGAACTCTGCCCCACTTCCATTTGTCTTCTAGCTATACCATACTACCTCTTTCTTGATTCTTCTAACCTGTTACCTGATAGGATAGCCTTCTCCAATGAAACTTAAATATGGTATTTTGTTATTCAAAACTGGCATTTGCACCATTAGATGGTTTGAATAAAGTATTTGTCATGGCCTTATTGCCTTTGTTGATTTTCGGATCCTTCCTGTTTTGATGTTCGTTTCTTTTTGGATGGATTTGACCTCATGCTGAGACTCGTATATAAAAACCTCATACACAAGATGGTATACATTACAAGGGCCAAGGGTCAGAAGGAGCCAACCCGTGCTTTTGGATGATAACGTTAATCAGTTCCCCTTCCTGTTGGCTTCCCACAGAGTTAGTCTGAAATCACATGTTCTGCAGAGTTAGCCTGGAATGACGTCGAAATTCATGGCCGCCCTTATGTTATGTCTCCACCGAAAGAGAAGATAAAGCCAAATCATGCATCAATTGAATTTGTACTTGCATGCCATGACAACATCTCCCAATCTGTATGTATGTAAAACAAACACATCTGAATGCTGGTAACAATATATTACAGAGAGAGAGAGATAGGGTGATACATATTCTGTATATGGAGAGAGAGAGAGAGAGAGAGAGAGAGAGAGAGAGAGAGAGATTATATGTGTATTGTGGTTTTCACAGGTTTCTTGGCCTGCAAAAGGAAATCCATTTGTAACAATGTGAACTCTGAAGGGAGAAACAAAGTATACAAGAAAGAAAAGGGTAGGGGGTTAAGACCTAATTAACACTTTCCATTTCTGAGATGGGAGTGAAGAAGAAGAAGAAGGAATAAATGTGGTTTGATGGCTGGCTGCCCATATGATTGGGTGGCCTAACTTAGCTTACCCTAGTCTTAGTCTAGTACGTCAGTCAGGCAAGCCTTACAAGCAAACAACATGATCCTAATAGGCAGTCCATTTGAATGTGATTGTGTTTCTCACGTCATTTTTTTATTTTTGAGTTTGAAAACTGCTCGTGAGCTGCAACTCTGAGTGAGTTCTGGTTCTCGTCATTCTTCTCCCGTGTCCAAAACTGGATTGACTTAAAACATAACAAATTAAAATTAGGCCCAAAAGACAATGAAGTTTAGCCCAGCGAAAAAGGACATTGACTTACAGACCAGTGGTCTCAAGTTCGATGCGTGTGTGAGAAACCCCCCTCCTCATGTAGCCACTGCCACTGAATTCGGCTTGCAAATATCCATTAAAGTAGGATGCAGAATAACAAAATGGGTAAAGAAAATTCTAAGCATTTCCATTAAAAAAATTAGAGTTACAGCCTTCAAAGTAACAAAGCAATATTGTATCAAACTACTTGTCTTCTTGTAGTTGGATCTCCGAGTATCATTACGAAGGGACACGAGTCTCCACAATAGTACAGAACCCTAGTGAGCAGGTAAACTCTTCCTCATTACTTGGGAGCCTCAATTGCTATGTTCACCCACAATCTGAAATTCCTCAAGCTTAAATGGTCTTCAAGTCCTGCTTCCAGGATAGAAATATTCGACACTGTTTTCCTTTACTTTGAATTGGAAATTAGACAGCTTGTTTCTTGATCTCTCCTTCCCACTGTTCAGGACTGTCAACTGCAACCAACAAGAACAATGAGGATCATAACTTTCGTAATCTCGTTCAATTGTATGGATATCAAAACCATTAAGATGAGACTTTTGGGAAGTAATTCTAGACAGGAAAAGTACACTTGCTACAAGCGTAATTGGCAGGTCACCAGCAGCAAGCCAGCAAGCAATACTAATGGTAATAGTTCTCACAAATTTTCAATTGCTAACACAGGATTGTGATCTAGTGGACTCGGCGGAGAAGATAAGACAGGTAAAAGAGAAGAGAACAAGAAAATCCAGAAAAAGGACCATGACACAAAGCAACTATCATATGTATGATCATACACTTAAAAAAACAAAACTAAATATCAGATCAGCAGAGCATATGCATATGTTAAAAGTTTTAAGTAGCAGATTATTCATTTCCATAACAACCAAGACTCAAAAAGTAACCACAAATGACGAGAGGGGTCCATACATGAATGATTTGACAGATATACTTTCTAGTTTCTAGCAATCTATCTTGGTGAAGAGATGCATCAAATGAAAAAAAACATGGGTGAAAACCAGTGAACTCACTATAGGACTGTTCAAATGAAAGGAAATAGACTCTTGCTTTTTCCATATTAGAGAAGCTATTTTATACTTTTTCCATATTAGAGAAGCTATTTTACAGAAAATTCAATCTGGTGAAGTGACAAAATGCGTTCCAGCAAATACCTGCCCATGCACATCTGATGCCAAACCAGTGGCCAATGGTTCTGCTCTTATCAGAATGTCTGCTAGATACTCCATCTGTAAAATAAGCGAGGGCCTCACCGTGTCTGAATATATATCGTCATGATTGAGCATGACTAAGGAACAACCCTGCAATACGAAAAGGTACACGAGATGAATAACTGAAGATAAGGTACACTAGATGAATAACTGAAGAAAAAGGAGTGTGGTATGAAAACCGGAGAAAATGACTGACAGTTGCCACTGATGTCTTACAAATTCTGATACTAAAGTGTGGCAGTAATGAAGAAAGTCTAAAACAAGATTTGTAGATCCCTTAGCAGCCACCTCCATCAGAGAGATATCATCAATCATAACAGTGATACAGTTCTTGTTCTCTTGAGGTAAGGCACTTATAGTCTTTTGGATTTTCCCATACAAAGCAACAAGTCCACCATCACTGTTTTTTCCTTCTTCACCATCTGAAGATGAAAAAACGGAGGATTTCTTGTAAGAAACTAAATTACAAAACCAGCAATACTAACAATTCTTACATTTTTCTTTGAAAAGAGAAAAAAAAAAATCGATTTAACGAACTGGAACTATGGTTTATAACTTAATATCAATCCTGCACTGATTCCTACATTGTTACAAATTCAATTGCATACTGAGCAAGTATCTAGCTTTTCTACTTTGATAGCCAATACTAGCGAGTCTTATACCTGATTTTCTCACCTGGGCAATCGACAAGCACGTCAAAGAAAAAGATTCTGTTATTGTCCCTTTGCACAACTAAGTTGCAACCCTGTTTCAAAAACACATCCAAATATAAGATATTTTCATTCATGCTTATCTGAACATTTCATCTGATAAACATGAAACCACGAGAACTAATGATAATTCATAACAAAAATGAAAAGTAAATTAACACGGATATTAGCAGCTATAGATAAAATTACGGAAATCACTTTAAAAAGACTAATTCTTTGTGAAGAGAGAGGCAGTACCAGTCTTCGGAGGATCCGATCGTAGTGAGAGAAGGGGTGAGCTAAGGCAACAAAAACGACGACGTTGGAGGAGTGAGGAGGCTGAGAAAGAGAGCGCTTGAGAATGTGGTGCAGGACGAAAGCGGCACTGGTCTCGACGCAGTCTTCGAGGAGAACAACGCGACCACTGAGATGGAGAGACCCAAGAGCTTCGTCCAATAAGGTTCCTTGCTCCATTTTCCTCTTCTTCTTCTTCTTTCAAGCTAAAAAGCACTGAGCTTTAGGGTTTAGGGTTTGTGAATTTGTGATTTCAACGGTTTCTTTGATTTCAACGGTTTTTGGCTTCTCAAACAGTGACGTTATTTCACCCGCGCCTATACATAAATAAATAAATAAATAATCCGGTTGGGCCGACCGAGTAAAATCTCCATTTTGCTGAGGTGGCAATTTTTGACTGTTCGACGCCCTATACAGTCCTCCCTAAACCCTTTCTGGGAGATAATTTATGGAGCATTATCATGAAAGCAAACCAAAGGCAAGTTAATCAAATAAACTTGGAGAGTTTTTTTAATTCAATCTTGACATGAGATAAAATAACTACGATGAATCAATTCAGAAAGAGCATACCACAAAATAAATGTTTGTGGGAATATGGTCAGGATAGCGCAATACTCTCACATCAAATCTGAGTCCGATTGGTTTAGTCTAATTTTTCTTTAATATTTTTTTAAGGATTTTTATCACAAATGGTTCATGAGGTTTGTCAAATTATCACATTTGGTCCTTTATATGTTTTTTTCGGTCCTATATATTACACCTCACATATTAAATAATATCGCTGTGAAGTTCTATTAAATTTTCTCTTAAATTGATGACGTGATGATGTCCACGTATCCAATGATTTAATTTTTTTTTTTTTTAAGGAGCAGGAGGGGTTTGTTACAGCGAGGAGAGTAGGTTCGCATAGAGACTTGAATTTTTTTTTCCTTCAATTTCTATTTAATTTGGATTTTAAAGTTTGTAAATAGCTAAATTACTAAATGCCCATGTTACATCAGCATATTTAACAGTTTTGTGGACGAAAATAACCGAAGTGCTAAAGTGAGAAACCATCCGTCCAGGCTAAAACAGTAATTAAGCCTCTTTTTAAATTTTAAAAAAAAAAATTATTCCAGTCGCTTCTCCCTACTTCTTCTTCTTCTTATCTCTCTCTTCTTTTCTCGACTCACCTTCTTCTTCTTCTCTCTGACCTCTTCGTGATTGACTTCCTTCTTCTCCTCTATCTTCTTCTTCTTATCTCTCTCTTCTTTTCCCGACTCACCTTCTTCTTCTTCTCTCTGTCCTCTTCGTGATTGACTTCCTTCTTCTCCTCTATCTTCTTCTTTTCCTCTCTGTCTCAGATCTGGAAAAATCTCGACGCCTCGCAGCCGCACCTCGCCGTCCCATCTTCTTCTCCTCTCTGTCAGTGTCTCGCCGAACACCGAACCAAACCACACCGAGAAATCGGCGCGCCGACCACATCGGTTTCAAGAGCTTGGGTTCGACGCTTGGTGGAGGCTCAACACCGAAACAAACCAGAGCGAGCCCAGGCCTAGTTCAAATGGCAGGTCCTTACTGGGTTTCTAAACACTTTCTCACTAATTTATTGTAATAAATCTCTCTGTGTGACTGAGATTGCACTAGACACATTCGTTTTAGTACTTTTTGGTAATTAATTGCATGCAGATGCAGTCCTCAAATTCCAGGAGAGATTTGGATGCTAGGGTTTAGGGTGTGACTCGTGAGAGTTTACCTGATGACGTCATCTGAAATAAAATCTGGGGCATTGGTTTCATTGCAAGACCTACATCCATCTTCCTCTTATTTCAAGCAAGGGGCTTCGTTGAGAGTAACTGGAAAGTAAGACTTTTGCCCTTTCAATGCGCTTTAGTGGTTTCATTCAATTGCGTTATATAAAATATCCAGTGTTTCTTCTTTTACTTACTTTTCAGTTACGAATATCCTTCCTGAATCAATTCTTACGTTTTCATAGTCTTTAACTTGGAAGGTTCTCTTAACTATATTTGTAGATTGGCTGAGTAGGGTACAAGTAGTTTATAGTTTAGGCTGGCTTTGTTGGTCTTGGTGATAGTGTTGGTATCATAAACTGGTGGAGTCGAGTGGTAGAAAGAAAGATGAACTAGAGGTGGAATTGCTGATACAGACATTGGATATGTGATAATTTCAGCATTTCGTTTCGGGTTCTGTCACAGTGTTTCTTGAAACGATTCTAGTCTAGTTTTGGTTCGTTGAGAATATCATGATCATGGTATAATAGTGTTGGAGTGGATGCAGAACTGGCCAAAAAGATCTTCTGGAGGCAAATGTGGCATCTCCAGTTGGTGGCATTGAGGCACATTGGTAGCATGATGTGGATGGAGTGAGTGTAATGCTTGGAAACATGTCACTACTGCAAAAAATAATTGGGAATAGGTCAAATGATTCAAATAATTGTGGATTGTTACATAAGAGGGCTGGATGATTGCTTCGCTTCATTGAATTTAATTGTATTTCTCATATTTATTCTCCAATATCATTAAGAAGCTTAGTCATTAGTATCTCTTGTTTTTTTTTTTCTCAGGTTACAAGAGTATTCTGTAGAGACAGCCATTGCCACAATTATTGATGGAAGTGACAGCTTCAAAATCAACACCCAACACCTCAGGGAGCTTAGCTTTCGAGTCGGATCCGTCTACCAGTTCATCGGCGAGCTGCTTATTCAACCCGATAATGAGGTAAGTGAGTGGCAAATTACATCCACCTGATGATTTTCAGTGCTGGGCTTCATCCCAACACACGAATGTTATGTAAAATATGTTAGAGCAATAAGCTCAATTGCTCTTGCTCTTTTTTCAGGCAGTCTTGCAGGCACGTGTGGGTAGGAATGTTGATGGCATTGATCTCAATCTCTATTATCAGTCTCTCCAATTGTTGAGGCAATTTCAGGCTCATCATTTGAAGAACCCAGCAACTTAAAATATTGTAATTTTAAAGTCAATTTAAAGACCAACGCAAATTGAAATCGTAATGGCAAAAAGGTCAAAGCCAATGGCCCAATGATCACTTCATAATTGAACCCAAACGAATATATTTAATCGGGCCCTCAGATTTTTCATGGATTTGACCTTCCAGTTAAAAGCTTATGAGTATTTTTAAAAATATTCTTTTATTTAATCATTATCAATCACGAGATTTGAATTTGAAATCTCTATTTTGTTGGAGGAAATCAAATATTGTTGTACCAAATAATCGTTGGCTAAAAAGTCCAAAATCGGAATTTGCAAGGGTTTATAGTTCAAATAATTATAAATAATTATCCTTGCATTAGACGGATTTAATTCTCCTTCTCTCAATATCGTTGTTACAAATTCTCCTTCTCTCAATATCGTTTCTAAATGTAACAACGGAAAAGAAAGCTCAAAGATATTATTTTGGTTTCTTATCTTCCTCCTCTAAAGTCAAAGTGATGATGGAAAAAGTAGGTAATACTGGGGCTCAACGCCGACCTAAATAGTCACACTGTCGTATTAGTCCAAGCAATTCCAACGGACACGTAGCCCAAGATTCTATCATTTTATTCATAGCTCAGACAACGATAAGTATACCCTTTTTTTTTTGTCTTTTTTCTTTTTTAGTAAAACTTCAAATTACGATTCATTTGAATTTAAAACTTGGAAAAACGCGGTTAGACAAATCTTGCTCTTACAAAGCACTCATATCATGGACCGCTAAAGTCATGCCGAAAAGGATGTTTCTGAAATTGACAATGAATTTAATTCCCATTTTATCCTTACAATTTAATTTATAAATCAACATGAATTTTGATATAAATATAATAGAATTGGTTTGATGTACCAAAATCCTAATTAAAAAAATATGCTTACCATCCATAATTAGCTGTCATTAGTATTTCTAGCTAATTTTTATTTATTTATTTATTTGGCCAGCACTATTTCTAGCTTAGACGTGATTACCATCCACATAATTCATTAGTGATAATTCAAAAATAAAATAATTATTCCTAATTGTGTATGCCTTTTTTTTTCTTTAAATAATTTTCCTAGTTGGAATCAACTTTGGAGTTAAGTGACTAGAGTCAAAGTGAAAAAATGGAAAACTTTTTAGACTCTGTCGGAAGACATGCAATTTTCGAAAGACGAAAGGGTACCTTTGCAAAAAGGGTTCATGAATGAAAAGTTATATAGTGGAATGAATAGCGTCTCTGTGAATTTTTAACCAACTCTGCCTCTCAAGTAATATTTGAGGTAAGGAGGTAGAAGAACAAGCCATGAGTTGGTTCCTGTGTTCTGGCAAATCAAGCAAAAATGCAAAGAAGAAGAAGCAGAAGAATAAACCAGAAGATCAGATCCCATCAATTTCAGGTATCTCCATCAACATTTGCCGGACATATTTTGGAACACTTCCAAACTCTCAATCTACAGTTTTTATCATTGACACGGTTAAAGAGTTAACCTTTATGAGTCATGGTGTACCACATCGACTTACTGTGGAGGAATGCATGAATCCCGTCTTTATAATAACTTGAATCTTAAATATGTGCGATCCTTTTTTATTGTCATTTTTTGGATGTGGTTGTTATCACCCTTATTGGGTTTATGCATTTGTTGGTATAAGCTAATGTGGGTTTGTTGTCAATTGGTTTTTGGAATTTTGAGTTAGATTTGCTTTGGTTGTGGTTTCTCCCCGTTTGAATAGAGCTCTGTGCCATAGTTCTTGGGTAATGAATTATTTTCACTGTCAAGTTCTGTTCTTTACTGCACAGGCGCTCTACTGCTACGGACCCTTTCGTCTAATAAAAAATGTGGGGGTGTGTGGGGGGGTGTGTGTGTGTGGGTGGGTGTGAGAGAGAGAGAGAGAGAGAGAGAGAGAGAGAGAGATTATGATAAATTATTGCCTCTTAGTTTCATTTCCTTGAAACCCACTTATTTGGATTTATGGAAAATTTAATTTTACACTGGTTATGAGTTCCAATCTACTCTACTTCTTCATCAGTTTTGATTGATAGGCATGCATTGCTTTAGAACAAGTTTCTGTGGTGTTTTGCTATTTTGAGTTGAACGCTGTTGATGGAATACGTGGATAATGTTTATGATGATGAATTGCCCGTTTTGTATCATTGGAAATATCTAAGCTTAGATTCTTGCCGCTACAGGTTTTGTCTTTTGTGAATCTCGTTCTCTTTCAAAACTCTCAATGATGTTCGTATGACTTTTTTGGATTATAATGTAATCCCTGTTTCTTTTGGATTTTATTGCACAGTATACTGTTTTTGTATTGTTTTATTTACTTTTTCCTTTTGTTCTTTCACGTAGAACAACTGAAGGCAAATTCAGCACTGTCTGTAAAGGACTCTAAGGATGGAGGGTCTGATCACATTGCAGCACATACATTTACATTTCGTGAATTGGCAGCTGCAACAAAGAATTTTAGAGCAGATTGTATTTTGGGAGAAGGAGGTTTCGGTCAAGTATATAAAGGGCGCTTGGAGAGTACTAATAAGGTTCTTTACAAGCTTCGACCATCAACTGCATGAAAAGTTATATAGTACCTTTTTTTCCTTTTTAAAACTTTATTATGCCTCTCATTTCCCATGTCCAATTGGTGGTTTAACAATCTCACCTGAATTTAAAGATTTCTCACTGGCATTGTAAATTTTTGTTTTAAAATTAATATGGATTACATTTTTGGGGTTCAGTATATATCTGTATATAGATCCTTTTCTAAAATATCTATTCAATATATATGCTGTATCTTCCATATTAAGTTTGTTGTGTGCTTTGAGTAAGTAGAATGTGGCAAAAGATAACCGAATTTAAAGTCATATTTTTTTGGTAAAAAACTATGGTCTTATGTAAAACTGAAAAGGTTAAGTGTTTGTGGCAAGCCTAAATCTGGACGTTCTCCAATTTAAGGGGTCTCCATTTCGCTGGGTTGGTTTTGTTTGCTGTGGGATTTTATCTACTTTCATTGAGATTTTTACCGTGAGTCTTAAAAGTTCTTTTGTTGTTGTTTCTCTGTGTTATGATATCTTTGTCTTTATATGCTAAGCTTTTGGTAAGCGCTGAACTTGTTCCCTTTTGTGTAGGTAGTGGCCATAAAGCAACTTGATTCCAATGGGCTTCAAGGGAACAGGGAATTCCTTGTTGAAGTATTAATGTTAAGCCTACTTCACCATCCCAATCTTGTTAACTTAATAGGCTATTGTGCTGATGGTGATCAGAGGCTTTTGGTATACGAGTACATGCCGTTGGGATCTTTGGAAGACCATCTACATGGTATATACAGCAGTAACAGCACAAGATTCAATTATTTCTTTGCCCAAAGTTCATTATTTTGGTCTTGAGGTCTCTCTCTTTGTACTTGGTGATAAATTGATGTAGACATACTATAACTGGGTCTTGCAATAGTAAAGATTCAAAGCTATAGAAATCAGTAGGATTTGACAATTATAGAACTATTTAAATTAACTGTATGAAAAATAGGAAAAAAATTACTGTATAAGATAATTCTGGAAATGATCCAAAATCATTTAATCATGCTCTTCGTAAGGTATGGAAATCTTGCAAGCGAACCAGTTAGCCATGTTGTTGAATATTCAATGTGTCAGCGGACTCAGAGTATGGGGCTTGAGCACCATTTTTATTTGTCTACCTTCTATTTGGTGTCAGTAATGTTGTTAATCACCTCCTTGATCTCACATGCTGATATATGCCAGATCTACCACCAGACAGAAAACAACTTGACTGGAATACAAGAATGAAAATAGCTGCTGGTGCTGCAAAGGGCTTGGAGTATTTGCACGACAAAGCTAACCCCCCTGTTATTTATCGTGATCTTAAATGTTCAAACATTTTACTTGGTGAAGGCTACCATCCTAAGCTCTCTGATTTTGGCTTGGCAAAGTTAGGTCCTGTAGGAGACAACACTCATGTTTCCACTAGGGTGATGGGAACCTATGGATATTGTGCGCCTGAATATGCAATGACTGGTCAGCTCACATTGAAATCAGATGTATACAGCTTTGGGGTTGTTCTTTTGGAAATCATTACTGGAAGAAAGGCAATTGACAATTCGAGGGCTGCTGGGGAACACAATTTGGTTGCATGGGTAAGAGAGTTATGCCTTCTGCTCTGTTTTAATATTTTTGTTTCTAAAATCATTTTCAGGAGTAAAGTTTTGTTTCTTCTTTATATATGCTTTCAATGTATTTCACATTCAATTTTTAGATTATCAGTATTCTGTCACGTTCTTATATTGGAGATCCTTCTAATTATATACCTACTTTCTGTTTTGGTAACAGTTTGAGTTTAGAATGTTGTGCAACTGTGCTATGAGTTTCGATTTTCTCAATTTGAAATATGGTATATGCAATATTGACCTACTAGACGGTGTGTATTAAAACTAATCTATTGGCAACACTCAAAACGAATTTCCTTATGAGTTAACCCTAACAAGTAACAGCTGTATTATTTTACGAGTGAAAGCAACAATGGGAAGAACAAGCTATTTCTTGCTAAATGGCAGTCTTGCGAATTTCTCCTCCTTCACTCTTTGTTGCAGGCCCGCCCCTTGTTCAAGGATCGGAGGAAATTTTGGCAGATTGCTGATCCACTGCTCCAAGGTCAGTATCCGGTGAGGGGAATGTATCAAGCTCTTGCCGTTGCTGCAATGTGTGTCCAGGAGCAGCCTAATATGCGACCTCTCATAGCTGATGTTGTCACAGCCCTTACTTACCTTGCTTCCCAAAAATATGATCCTGAAACGCGGTCAGTACAGAGCTCTCGCACAAGCTCATCCACTTCTAGACCTAGAAGGGAACTGTGAAGTTCATAAGGGAAGACTTATTTGATACAGTTCCGTGATTGGAAGGTTGTGATGAGAACCTAGCTGTGGCACTGCTTTAGGGTTTTTTTCTTTCTTTCCAAAATGGTTTATTTGTGATTCAGAAGTCAATTGGTTGGAGCTTAGTGGTATGCTTTGTTGGCTGTACATGAAATGGTGCCTGCTTATCGAATTTTGCTCACTCCGGTAGCAGGTGCCGTGATGGCGCTCCCCCTTCCTGTTTTTCTTTCCTCCTCCACCCTTTTCCTTCTGTCACCTTATACAAGATTCTTTTTATGTACAATTGAGCAATGGGGTTTTGTATCTATATAGAAACTGGTATCCCATAGTCACAGAAATTTATCCAAATTATTTTATAGGAATTTTACTGATTTGGTGAATGAATGGCCTCGTCCTTTGCCAACAAGTAGGCGTACAAATCACTTATATTAAAGCTGTTTTTTGGTCATAACACTCATCTTAAAGCCTGAGTTGCAAAGTCTTTAGAAAATTGTGTGGTATGTGCCTAACTGCTCACTCCACCATTGTTTTACGTCAATTTTACCCCTGCTCAAAATTAGTGAAAATGGCATTATTTGAAAAACATTAAAATTGCTTCAAAACTTATTTAGATGGAAAAAAGCATTGACTTGCAGACTAACGGTTGTTTGTACTAAAAAAAAAAGGGAAAATTAGTTTTTCTCGAAGAGATAAATTGAACAAAATTTGTTCACTGCACCAACTTTTTATGAGTTTTATCCCGGTTCGAAAAATGTAAGGAAATTTTGAAGAGATAAATTGAATTGTTTTTTCAACGATGTTATACAAAGTAAAAAAATATGAGATTCAATAGGCTCATTTGAGCTTGATTATTATTTTATTTTATCATTCTTTTTGTTCAGAGAGAGGGAAAGCAACATAATCGCTATTATTAGAAAAACCTTCGTATTAAAAGGTGAATACTAAAAACTGTACGTTTATCTGATTAAAAGAAAAAGATACTGTACGCTTAGAAAAGTGTCATACAAATACATTTGACGAAGATTATACACCTATGTAAACCATATCGTCAATATTTTCTACATTTTTTTCCTCCCCCACTACATGATTATTACCACTACCTAATCAACAATCAAACAATGAATGGATAAAATTGGTTTCTCTATCGAAAAATTACAGACGATGAAAGAAATCAAAACTATAGCTCCCCTGGACTGACAGACACAGAAGGCATACTATCAAGCTTTGCACATGAGAGTATTACTATCGGGGCAGCAAACATCTATAGGGATATATCAATACAGCCTCTGCTTTGATCTGCTCTACTCTTTATCTTCCGCTTGAAGGCAATTCGTCTCTTTTACCTCTGCGGTGGGACTCTCTCCCTCACTGATAGACTTGCTGTCATTCGGCTCCTCATTGTTAGCAGGTTTTCCCTGTTGCATTCAACAGGTGATGTAATCAGTCAAACAGCTCTATCAATCGTATTCTCCTTTTGTTGCTTTCACACAACAGTTAAGAGTTCAAGAGTGTAACCTTGTTGCGATCACGCCAGCCAAGGCCAAATGGTCGAGATAGCAAACTGATCTTTCTTGCGGGGAACTCTTGTGTCTGGTCTTGATTGGTTTGTACAGGTAAAGATAGAGATCTGCCAGACAACCATTTATTTTTCAACTAAACACACCAATTTCAACTACTGAGGAACAAAACCACGCAAATCTGATTTTATTTTAATTTGTGTTACCATATGATTGTGGCTTGTATAACTGTGTATCCTTTTTAAATGAGCACCATTTACATATCTAGGTGTTTTAATCTATGTTGAAGAGGGAAAAAGTGTTGAAAAGTAATTTTCGATTTTTAAGAGGAATATCATTTCAAATAAAATGAATATTTGAAATATCAATAGAGAGATTAATAATGATAAAAAAATAAAAAATCACATTATCTCAATCACAATTAAGGCAAGGACTAAATTAAGGTAGACATGGAAGAAAACCAAGAGTAATTAAAGGTAACAGATTAACTTTTGGAAATGAATAAAATAAGAATGCACAGAAGGTTACCTTGGAGAAGGTTGTGTTTTCTGTTGACCGGATTGGTATTGCAAAGTAGCCTCCAACATTGATTCTGCCATAACAACTCTCTTTTCCATTTCAGCAAGTGCAGCTGTGGCCTCTTCATACTTCTCCTGCAAGAATTAATATATAAAATTACATAATCTTGACCTGAAAATCGTGCACTCTGCAGTCACAGAATAGTTTGATTGAATTACATGCGCTAAGTATCAATTTCATGCAGACAATGTACATGAAAAGGTAAAGCGTTAATTTGAAAGAAATGAATTGGCTACAAGGTGCATCAAATAGGGGAAAGGAAAATGGTGAGCATCCCACATTTCTCATGTTCCATGCACCCCCAAATAAACATAAATCCAAGGGCTTAAATATAACAATAATAATTGCCATACAATATCTGTATTTTAGACCTTATCACACGTACATTCTAATCAGAAAAATTCAACTTTTAGAAAATTCCAGGTGGGGTTCCAGGTGGTATTTTATGTAATTCCAATGCTATTCACACAGAGATGAAAACTTTAAAAGGAGAAGAAATGTCAGGCATACTATTTGGTTGACAAAAAGGTGAAGCTTTCAGGAAAAGGGCGCCAGTAGGAGTTAGACCCTAGGCTGGGATTAAGGTTTAGGGCTTGTTTCCTACATGACCTAAGCTCCCTTTCCACACTCTATTTCCAGACTTCTCTTCGGACAGCTAAAAAATTAATTCAGTTTTGAGCAATAAAGAGTGCAACTGAAGTTAGCAGCAAAGTAAACAATTATAAAACAGAAAGCATTCAAAAATTAAATATATATTTGGTGCCAGTACCATATATGGCAATTCAAGACAAACCCCCATGGAAAAGAATGTTATGCAAATGGACAAGAGAAAATCAACTTGAGGAGTAAGAAACAATTTTATGCAAGCAATTTAGTAAGCTAATCTTATAAGGGTGGTTCTAACATAATGATTTCTTATCATTACATAACCAGAACATGCGTTCGGATATATGGTTATCTATGAAACCTGAAGCACTTGAGCAGCATATCTCTGTGCTGCTGCATCTTGCTCAGAAAATCTGCGAGCATCTTCTGTTAGTCTCTGCTCTTGCTCTACTCGCATTAAGACCTGTAAAGATAGTAAGTGATGCAATTACCATAACAAGCCCAAAACCGGTATGAAAAGAACAGAAATCCCAAGTATAAAAGAACAGGAAACAATACCTGGAGCATGACACTCTCCTGTTCCTGCTTATCAGAAAGGGCTCGGCGAAGCTCAGCAACCTCTTGCTCTAATTGCTCAACCTGACACAATAAGATATCAGAATGAAGTATCTTTACAAGTACTTTTTTTTTTTTTGGTCAAGTGAGGTATCTTTACAAGTATAAGGAAAAATAAACATAATAAAAAACGTGGAGAAGATTATATTTTATTAACAATCCCAGAGTAAAAAAATGAAACACTAAATAGTAAAATTCCACTTTCAAGACATGAAGGTCCACAGTAAAAGGGGCAGATTCCCAAGCAAGATAACCATATCTCTTTCACTTAGAAAGCTGCACTATATAAAAGTTTTCTGGATATACCCTGGCACTCAATTGCCGACGATTATCTTGCTTGACCATCTCCATCAATGCTGTCTCCAGCTCCTCGGCTCTGAAGAAAGTGAAAAAAGGACCCATAATATCAACGCCACATTAGAATAAATAATAACTGGCTCAAGAATATTTCGTGGTTGGACGTGAAGGCTGTGATATTTGGTTGTTATAGTGTTTTAAGACACCCCCAAATCCTGGTTGGCCTTGAAGGGTAAAGATCAATACCTTTTCATCCCAAACTACCAAAATGAGCTATTTTAATTGTACTTAATCAAGTCAACAAATGCCATACATAGTATAAATTATATACCCAACGTATTGAAGACACTAAGAGTTACACAGGCATCCAATATATCCAAAGAAGAGATCTTTGTTGAATGAACATTTATTGAATAACCAACACAAAAAACACCTAACACCAGAGAGAATATAAGAACCTGAGTTCAGCAGATCTTTTCTCCTCCAGCAGCTTGCATAATTCAACCTTCAACCATACCACCTGCAAGTAGAACCTAATTTAAATCTCAAAGTTGATTGTGAGGAAAATGCTTTAATAACGAGCCCCAGCAACTGCATATAACCCCGAACAAAATACAAATGTAGCACAAAGGTTGTGCATGAATGTGTTTCTTTTTTTTATATATATATTAAATGCAGAATTAGGTGACAACCCATAGACAGGCTTATTATATGATGGAAAGAAGAAAAAATATATATACACAAAGGTCTAATCAATGGGCTGATAAAATGGTAGAATCAATATGCATAATTCCACTATGCCAAACAAAGAAGACTGTAATGAGGGTGTGGAGGGTTCAGTAAGCAACCTGTTCTTGAAGATCTGGTACAGAATCTAACTCCCCATCCCCATTCAGGCTAATAAGAACTTCATCTGCATTAGTGGACCCAGACTCTGAACGTGATAAATCACCATTTGTCTGTGCATCGACTACTCGTTCTCCTTTCTTCGTCTCAATTATCATTGATTTAGGATCTTGCTTGAAATTATACAGCTTAGATGCTAGACCTTGAGAATCCTTCCAAGCCCGAAGTCCCTTCGATCTTTCCTCGATAGCAACAAGTACAGCTGGCCGATGTTTATTTCTCAACTCTTGTAATCTAGTTTCATTTACATTTTGGTAACCCATGCAAGCTGTCAATACCAGTTGACTGCTATCAAATGTAGAGCCAGCCAGTGATTGCAGCAGAGTAACTGCATCTCCAGCATCCTTGGTAGTAACCAGTGCAGGGCCTACAAGTAACTGAGCCAAATTAAGTTTCATAAACCAGAGAACATACAGGCCACTTGGCACTATATCATGTTAAAGTAACCAAGTTATATGCCTTTTTTTCTTTAGAAAACGAAAAAAATACTATTTTTATACCCAGTACCATATAACTCCATCAAAGCAAGTGCTGTTCTAAATAGCATAACGCGGTTTCCTTCAAAAAGAAGCACATCCCAGACTCGAAGGACTGAAGTCAATAAATCAAAATATAGGTAAGCTTCAACAAAGTACCTATAAAAGAACAGTTAGTTTATTATCTAAAGAAACATTTAAAACCTGACCGCTTTCCCATGGAAGCATGTTCATGAAGATCGTAAGGAACCATGGTCCACTAACCCATGCCACCTGCACTCCCAGGTAATCTAGATGATTGACTGCAACATGATTAAAGGTGGCATTAAGTGATTGCTCAACAAATATATCAAACAAAAAGAAGTGTATACTGTATAATAATAATATACAAACCCAATCTAGGAAATCTCTCATGCACCAACTCTTCAAAAACAAGCTGATCCACCTGATAAAATACAACTCATCAGAATATTTCGAAATGCCAACATCTGCAATTATACATTTATAGCATGGTTTCCTCAATTTTGTGAATGTATCTCACTTGAGGAGAAAGAGCATAGATACACAAAATGAAAAATGCATGAAAACTAGAGTACAGAAAATATTACCTGAGATTCTATCATTTCCTCAGAGTAATAGCCATCAAAATAATCATCTATAATCCCCATCAAAGCCCTGAAAGGTTTAGCGATTTTGTAATTACACAAAGCCAAACACGTGCAATCACTTTAAATGTAATTATATGCAAACACAAACTTCTATATTTCCAGGAATTTTTTTATTTCTTTAAAAACAAACTGCTCTTTGGTTTCTTCACACTAAGCCTCCAAACAAAAGAAAAGGCAAAAATATCTGGGAATCATCCTTTCCCGGAAGTTAACAAACAGTCAATTGAGTTTAGATCTTACCAGAAGGCATTTTCTTCGGGCATGAGAAGCAGTAATAAGCCAGCAAAGAAATTCATGGCCTGCGTGTAGATTAAACCCAACAAGCATTAAAGTCGGGAAAAGTGAAACAAAGATAGTAATTGATATCATGGATCAAATTTCAAAAATCAAATAAACCTAAAATTAGAAATAGTTTATTGAGAAGCATCACAAGAAGCTAACTTGACACATTGCAATCTCTCAAAAGTCATCCAAAGGGAGCTCGTTACAGCTCCATCTCAATTTTATCCAATCATCCTCTGTAAGATGTACATTTACTGTGGCTAATTATCTCAACATTTAGAAGTCAATTTTAGCTAAAATTCTGTGTGGATCACAAGCTATCCTATAGCCTTGCAGGCCTACATTGCCAGATCATGCATTAATCAAAACTACTTGGTTCACATAATGACCAAAGAACACTTTATGCTTTCATGCATTGGTCTGAACTAATTCGTAAGATGTTCTTCACAATATACAAACTCTATAAAAATAAATAAATAAAATAATTCAAAATATCACACATAAGCAGTGAAAAACACAGGAGATTTCCTAGATGTTATTCACAGATACATTCATCAACATCATAAATAAATCTAACTCATGAGCACTACAGTCTCAGTATTATTGTATTAATGGTCACAAAAAGGTAAAGTGTCATGTTTATGAAAATAATTACTATATTGATCAATAAATCTCACATCCACTTACAGTAATGGCAACTCTAAAAAGTAGCAGTTACCTGAGCACATAACATGTTCCAGAACCAATTACCTGACAGTACCCAACAGAGGGATTATGCCGCGCATATGCGGTAAGCAAACGCCTCAAAGCATTTCTACCATCTTCATCTAGAGCAGGGTGACCTGGAAATGTTCTAGGTAGATCCTGCAGTACAGATCATTGCCAATAAGTTAAGAAGTTGGATTGTTAATATTTTCAAATAAAGGAGAAGCCATACTGAAAACATAATTTTTTTTATAAATAAAGTGGTGAACAACCTTCTCAATCTGCCCTTTCCATTTTTCAGGTGCACATACAGAATCTGTTGCTGACAACTTGCTATTTCTGTCTGAGTCCAAGTTATTTAGTTCCACATTATTACCAGCATTAGTTTCAGAAGCTAGCAGATCCTTGTAATAGTTATCCACACGCCGTGCCTTCACACCAACAAAAGCTTGCCAGAGCTGAAAGTTGGAAGTAAAGCAATTATAAAGTTTACTCATAACAAAGATATTCATGAAGTCAAAAAACAAAAAAACAAAAAAACAAAAAAACAAAAAATAACAAGAGGTAACTTGAGAACATAATATGCACCTCTCCCCTGAGAGCCATTGGTACTCCCCCACGAACAAGAACCTCCAACTCTTCTTTCCAAGGAAATAAAGATTCTGAAGGGACAGTGTCAGAAGCAGCACCTGTTGCAGATGCACTCACACTGTCACTTGAAGGGACATCCTGGTCTGACCTCTCCACATCATAGAACTCATCCTCGGAGTCCTCCTCAGATGCTCCTTTTGGGGATCTAGCCTCTTCAAGAGGAGTAAGCGGCTTCCCAGTTCCTGTGTCCTGCTCATGCTTTGACAAATTGTTCTTCTTCTTTATACGAACACTCATCATGGTCTCAATGGCGTGAAGAGATGGTCTAATTTCATTCCATATTTGAATCCCATGAGTTTTTGTGTCCTTAGCTTCCAGTTCCTCCTTTTCGTTATCATTTTTGGTCAGAGAATCAGAACCTGCCTTCTGGTCACTTAAATCATCACCATCAACACCCTTCTCCAAATTGGAGTCTGGTTCATGCTCTGAGGCTTCGGAAAGCAAGGCCTTGTTATCTTGTTCCTTAGATAATCCAATTGCAGGCAATTGAGCGGACTCTGCTTGTAGTTCCAGGAAAGACTTCCACCTTTCTGATCTTTCCTCCTCTTCTTCCTGAAAACAAAAGTAAATTACATGGAGTACAACATGGCCGGAATCTGTGCTTTCAAGTCTGTTTGTTTCGTGAAAACAGTATATATTAAAATTTGAAAAATAAGAGTCACTCCTCTAGTCTTCACTGTAAGACCAGAAAAAAAGAAGTGAAAACACCAGCCAAGGATTTTAAGAGTTTAAGAATTTAAAAGAACAAAAAACGTAAAATATAGCTTTTGTTTCTCTTTTCCTTTATTTCCATCATCATGAACTTTTCTCAGTAACCACAACAAAAGACGTTAAGATGGAAAGAAGAAAATAAAAGAAGAACAAAACCTTGTAGATAGTGGCATATTCTCGGTATCGTTGTACATGCTGAGGTCTCACAGCAAATCCATAAGCATCCCTGTCCAAACACCAATGCCGATTCATTCCAATTTTTTAATAAATGATAAACAAATCTACCTAACACGTTACATTTTCTTTGACAAGCAGTAATTCTATCTAACCTTAACATAACAACAACTCCATACTGAGATCACAATCAGTTCACAATCATATGCCAATCGAAACAGCCCAATTATGAAGATTATCGAACCCAAACCATGAAAAAATGAAATTCCACGCACAACGGTGCTCGGATTACCAGAAATCGGCCTCGAGCGATCGCCTGATTCATGCTCGAGAATTCTACTAGCCACAGAACTCGGCATTGCCTCATCGCAATCTCAATCTACTGTAAACCACACCGCATTTCACATTCACACTAGCAATCTAAAACCAAGCCATTCACAAGCAAACGAACACGCAAATCCTACCAAATTAGATTACACACTAAGCAGCATCCAACGGTCAGGATCTTAAACTCGGAAGCATAATTAACTCAGTTTAAGAAGTCAATGTAAACGAAGAAGACGGTGAAATTAGAAGACCTAGGAGGGACGCGTGGCGGGAAGGGGGAGGGAGTAGCACGGAAGAAGCGTATACCTCTTGTGCTCGTAGGCGACAAGCGGGTTGAGAGAGACTTTGGTGGCGGATTTCATTTGGATCCGGTTCGATGCGCGGGGAGATAGGAGCGATCCGCTGGCGAAGATCTTCGTGCTCCGCGGCGCGCCCTTGAATTTCTGCAACTGAATTTTCAACTATGTTCGTGGGAGAGAGTCAGAGAGAGAGGACTGTGGGCCTGTGGCTGAGTGAGGGAGGGAGGGAGAGAGAGTTAAGATGGGTTTTGTTGAGGGAGTGGTAGAGTGATGTGTGAGTAGAGAGAGAGAGAGGGAGGGAGAGGCACATGCATAAGAGAGCGAGATTGCCGTCACATTATTACATGTGCTCCATGTCTCCAACACGGATTTCGAGATGAGGGAGGGAGAGAGGGTCTTATTTCCTGC